CCCACACACCTTTATGAGATAGTTACTATTATTAGCTCCATTTAATAGATGAGAAAACTGCAGCCTCAAGAGATTAAATAACATATATCCCTAGGAGGTTTTCTGAACTCAGTGGAATTGAAGTGCATTTCTAAGGCCTTTGAAGTCTGCAGGCTCATCCACAGGAACTGCAGCCCCACAGGATGTCTCTGATGCGGTAGACAAACTTTGTTAGAGAGCAGTGCTGCTCACAGAACTGGGTGTTGCAAGGAGGAACATGGATTGATGATATTAATCCTTCATTTCTAACAAGTTTCTTAAAGATCTTTGAATGGGCTAATATTATTGTCTTCAAACTTCAAAACAACCTTGCAAACTAGGTCAGGTAGTATGATCCCATTTTATGGATGATGGAGACAAAACCTGGAACAAAGTGCCTGGAAGAGGTGGAGCTAGACCTGAACCCGGAAGAGCTGACTCAGCCACAGCTCTTCACTACATTCTCCCATGATTCGTTAACAACAAAGGGAAGCAACAGAAAATCCCCAAACCAACCAACCAACCAACCAACCAACCAATCAACCTGGTAAAGGGAGAGGCTTTCTTGGGGAGGTTTATCTTCTGGGAGCAGAGTGGGCTCTTTCTGGGAAGCAGCTGGGCGGAGGGCTGACTTAAGTACCAGGTCTTCTGGAGAACCCCTGCTTCCCAGGAAATGGAGTTGGTCCCAGCATTCTTTTTGTGGTTTTTTTTTTTTTCTGTCTTCTTGTTTCTTGAGTGTTGCTCACAGAAAGAGATCTCTAGTCCCCCAACTCTGGAGGCTTAGCCCTGTCTCTTCAGACTGAAGGGAGGAAGGGAAGTTTTCTTCTTTGCTCCCTCTCTTTGTCTCTTCACATGCATGCCCTGAAAATTCCCAGGGTTCTGCATTGCCAGCTCTGAGTGAGGAGGAGACTGCTTCTCACTAATTCCTTTTTTTAAATATATTTTTTATTTTATTGATTATGCCATTACATTTGCTCTATTCCCCCCCTTCATTCCCTTCTACCCTGCACACCCCTCCCTCCCATTCCTCCCCCTTTAGTTTATGTTCACGTGTCTCAAGTTCTTTAGATCCTATATTTCCCCTACTATTCTTACCCTCCCCCCTATCTATTTTCTATCTAATGTCTATGCTACTTATTTTCTGTACCTTCTCCCCCCTTCTCCTTCTCCCACTCCCCTGTTGCTAACCCTCCACGTGATCTCATTTCTATGGTTCACTCCTGATCTAGCTGTCCTCTTAATTTGCTTTTGTTTTAGGTGTGGTTGTTAATAACTGTGAGTTTGCTGTCCTTTCACTGTTCATGTTTTTTTTAACTTATTTTTCTTAGGTAAGTCCCGTTAACATTTCATATAATAAGGGCTTGGTGATGATGAACTCCTTAAATTTGATCTTATCTGAGAAGCACTTTATCTATCTTTCCATTCTAAATGAAAGTTTTGCTGGATAGAGCAATCTTGGATGTAGGTCTTTGGTTTTCATGACTTGGAATACCTCTTTCCAGCCCCTTCTTGCCTGTAAGGTCTCTTTTGAGAAATCAGCTGACAGTCTGATGGGAACTCCTTTGTAGGTGACTGTCCCCTTATCTCTTGCTGCTCCTAGGATTCTCTCTTTCATTTTAATCTTGGCTAATGTAATGATGATGTGTCTTGGTATGTTCCTTCTTGGGTCCAACTTCTTTGGTACTCTCTGAGCTTCCTGGATTTCCTGAAAGTCTATTTCCTTTGCCAGAATGGGGAAGTTCTCTTTTATTATTTGTTCAAATAAGGTTTCCACTTGTGGCTGTTCCTTTTCCCCTTCTGGTACCCCTATAATTCGGATGTTGGAACGTTTAAAGATGTCCTGGAGGTTCCTAAGCCTCTCCTCATTTTTTGAATTCTTGTTTCTTCATTCTTTTCTGTTTGGTAATTTTTTCCTTCCTTCTGGTATGCTCCCTTGATTTGAGTCCCAGTTTCCTTTCCATTACTTTTGGTTTCCTGTGCATTTCCCTTCATTTCAATTAGTTTAGCCTTCATATGTTCCTCTAATTTGTGACTAACTAAAATCAACCAGTTCTGTGAGCATCACCAGTGTTTTGAACTGTGCATCTGAAAGTTTGGCTATTTCTTCATCACTTAGATTTATTGGCTCTGGGGCTCTGAGTTGTTCTTGAGCCATGTTTTGATCTGTTTGTGCCTGTTACATATGGGGAGAGGTGCGTTAGGTGTTCACCAGGGCAGGGACACCCAGGTTGCTGGTTTGTGACGCTGTATGTGGGGGCAGGGTCAGAGAGGGAGCAATGGCGGTCCTCTCGGCTCGCCCGGTCAGCCTCACCGCTCGCCCCCACCTGTTTATCTGAGCGCAAATGTGTGAGCCTGCCACCTGCGCCGGGGCCTGTCTGCATGGTCTGTCTCAATGCTCGTCTCTTCACTGGTTTATCTGTGCACAAATGTGAGACTGCAGACAGCCAGTGGTGCTGAGCCTTCCCTGGGTCCGCCTGTAGCTGCCCGGCACCTGGGATCCATGCCCTCAGCTGCCTGCGTGCCCCCTGGGTTGGGGGATTTTTTTTGCCCGACCTGCCCTGCTGATGGCTTCTCCCCTCTCATCGGTTTAGGTGAGCGGTTTGTTGTTTTCAGACTCCATATTGTTCGATTTTCTGTGGTTTGGTTGCATTTATTGTTGTTAAAACTTTGTTGTTTTTAGATTTGGTTGTGCAAGGAAGCAAAGTGTTTCCATCTATGCCTCCATCTTGGCAGAAGTCCCCTCACTAATTCCCTTGTTGCCCCACCCCCATGAATGCTACTTTCTGTAGGGGTTTCAGTGGGAGGGTCTACATGGGCAGAGCAGCAGCACCCTTCAGATGGAAGGGACCTAGATTCAGATGCTGCCATGTCCTAGAGGGTGAGAGATGGGAAGGTGTGGGAGGCTGAGTACTTTTTGCTTTGATTTGTCTTTGAGAATTTTGCACGCACCTGGAATGTGCGTCGCTGCACTTCCATATTCTTCCTTCTCAAAATCTAACCCATCTACTTCAGCTTTATGGGCTCTGAGGAAGAATTTTTCACGACCCAGAATGTTACTTTCTCATCTCCTGTTCTCTTCACTCTCCCTTCCTCCAAATGTCAGGTTTGGGGTCAACCAAAGATAAAGGCAGGAAGGCTGGGTGTGGCCTTGGGCTGCAGGGATGTTCGTGCTGATTCACCTGACTCTCCTGCTGAGCCCAGCGATGGCTGGTTCACGGAGCCTGGATGTCTTGCACTTTGTGTTGGTGAGCTGACTGCTTTTCCTTTCTATTTCTCTGGTGTTGCCAACAAACGTAGGACTCTGGTCCAAAGACTTCTTGGACCAGAAAGGGCATTTGGGAGAATCTTGTTACTTTCCCAGCCTCCAGGCCAAGAATGATTCCCAAAGAAGATTGTTCACTTGCTTTTATTTTAAATATTTTAGGAATGAACACTTTAAAAATGATACTATCTTGTCTTAAAAATTCCCATAGTGAGGAAGGTCTTTTGCATGTCTCATCTAAAATCTAAGCTTTAAATGTAAGGCTTTTTCCTGTTGACATTGAGAGAAGCAAGACCAGCTTCTTACTTTATAACTTGTTTCCCTTCATGAAGGATTGTGAGAGAGGGGCTTAGTGTGCTCTGACTGTCCTTTTCATTATGCAGCTACAGCAGGATGGCATTTCGGCAGTCTTCTAAGGGCGGGGGATCTCAGAAGCTCACTTGAGGAGCTGGCCAGACCAAGTGGGGGCAGCCCTGAGTGGAAGCCAGGAGGTGTAGACTTCCAGAAGCTACTGGCCAGAAAGAGGCCACCAAAGAAGGAAGCGGGGAGGCCTGGAGGGTAAGGGGCACAGATGTTCCTTAAGGTGATGGTGCAGGTTGTGAGAGAACTGAAAAAGGAGCAAGGGGTGGGCCAAATGACAGAGGACCTGTCATCTCCGGGACCTGCTGCACCAGAAACTGTCAGCTCTTAGGCCTGTTCACCTTGGCATAGCTTGCAAAAACACTTTCACAGTTCCTTTCTCACCGGAGCATGGGAGGGAGGCAAGACAAGTGGTTTTATCCTCATTTCACAGATGAGGATAGTGAGGCTCAGGGAGGCAGTGCCATTCGCTCAAGGAAACAATTCGCAATTGGCAAGGCCAGGATTTGTATCTAGGTTTCTTCTTCCTGAAATGCATGCTTTATCACTGACATTTCACTGCCTCTGTGATACAGGGTGGTGGCCTGGGCGAGGGTCAGGGTAGGAGTTGTCCTTGACATTTCCCTTGTTGTGGACCTTAGGCCTGTTGGGTTTGTCTTGTGCTAGCTGTTCCCAAATTTCCCTCCACTTCAACGGCCTCCACAGGCTGGCTGTCGTGGATTGTTCCCAGTGGTGGTAGGACCAACTGTGCTGCCACCACACTGGGATGGATGCTCACAAGTTGGCCCTCCTTGTGAACCAGAGGCAGAGGTGCACTTGACTTTGGTTAAGACTTGACTTTGGACAGGAAAGGATGACTCCTGCCAGCCTTCTAATATTGACTTTCTACCAGAACCTCAGAGACTTCCAGCCACACAGCAATTCTGACCCACTTTTGTTTGGCTGAGCTGCAGGGGGCACTGTCTGAAACTCTGCCAGCTTGCGCCTTGAGGGGAAATGAGCTCAATTAAGTAGGCAGGTCCCAGGGTGGCATTTCTGCAGCACCGTTATTAATTTCAAGGAGCATGGGAAAAATATAACCTCGTATCTCTCTGCCCCATTTTCATCTGTGTCGATGTTCAGGACAAAGGATCACACAGGGGGATGCCTTCGCTGCCGTCTTTGTCTCTGCCTCTCTGTCTCACCCCCTGCCTCCCACCTCCCCCCAAAGCCCCGAAGACTCCACTCTGAATCCCGCCCATTGTCATGGCCTTAGTTCATAGAAGAGCAGGAGTGTTTTATAACTTCATTTTCTGAACTTCTGCTTTCTTTCTCTCTCTCTCTCTCTGTCTTTTTTTTTTTTTTTTTTTTTTTGAAACAGAGCAGCACTTTCCAGAGGTGATGCTGGGGGAAGAATTTCTTAGCCTAAGTCTGGACCAGGTGTGCAGCTTGATATCCAGTGACAAGCTGACTGTTTCCTCAGAAGAGAAGGTACGATGTGGCCCCTCGGTGGAAGAGGAGCCTCCTGTGTGAGGTAGTCATGTGGTTTAGTGAGACCTTCGCTGAGAGCTTTTTTTTTAAATCTCTGTAAATTAAAAAAAGGCCTTCTGATTCTTGACCACTCACTTTCTGGACCCTGTAAAGAAGAAATACAGCGGCGACGATGGTGGCGACAAAGCTGCTTTCACTTACTGAACGTTTATAGTTTGCCAAGCACCATGCCAAGTGCTTTATGTTCTTCAGCTCACTCGCCCCTCACTGTAACCCCGTGCAGCAGGCGTTGCCATTGTCCCCAAATTACAGATGAGGAACCGTGAGACTCAGAGGAGTTAGTTAGCATCTAAGGTCACTCATCTGGTCACTGCAGAGCTAGGGTCTCCCTGTCACCTGGTCTTAGTCACTGTCCCACATGGCTTCTTGTGGGTATCACTGAACAGTTATGCCAGAGCAGACTTTTTGGGAGCATCTGTTCTAATAGGGCTTTGGAATTCTTACTGATGATGAAATTGAAGCCCAGAGAGGGGATAGGAACTGCTGAAGGTCACACAGTCAGTCAGCGCAAGGGCTAGAACCCAGGGCTCTTGACACACAGTCCCCTACCACGTTGACCATATACTCCCTCTGTACTGGAAGCTCGACTTCTGCCCGCTGCTCTCGCTGACCCATGACTGCTCATCTTTCCTTCTGCCAGGCCATCCCTCCCAGTGACCCTCTGACTGGAGAATTCTCCCCATCCATCTCCACCTGGTTGAATTCCAAGCCAGTTCAAGATTCTGCTATAACCAGGGAGAATTTCTTTACTCCAGCAAATGTAGCCTTTTGAACTGAATATAACATAAGCCAGCTGTGTCCAAATCTCATCTCCAGTATCTCATCTCATCCCAACTAATTTACAAATTAGTTGTGTGGCCTTGGGTAAGGTACTGTGCTTCTCTGTTTCCTCATTTATAAAGTGAAGATGTTAATGGAACGTGTTCCATAGGGTGGTTGTAGGAATGAAAGGGGATAAGGTTTGTAAAACGCCCGGTGTCATATCTGGTACCTAGTAGGTGTTCAGTCAGTGTCAGCTGCGTTTATTATTGATCTTGCATCTGGAATTTAGTCCCTTTGTTCTGTGTTCCAAAATGGCACCTTGTTCCGCTTTTTATTGCAATTAGTTCTGACCTGCTCTTTCCTCCTTCATTCAACTGTGAGTTCCTTGATGGTAGGGTCACATTTCATTGATCTCTGTATCTGCACAGATGCTCAATACCTGTTTCTTGAATTGTCCTTGTCTATTCGTAGTGTCAAAGCTTGAGGTCCTTTCATGAGGGGATATTCAAGGAAAAGCTCTCGAAAAGGGTTTTACATTGGCAATAAGACCAAGTCCAAAGGCATATGTCCAAAGAATGGGGTAAAATTCACAAGGCTCTGCCTGTTGCCCTACAGAAGTTTGATCAAGAAGAAAAGCAGTTGTTCATGGGAACTGTGCGCTTCCCAAGGCTTCAGAGAGATCTCTAGAAGGTGACTAGCACAATAATCTGGACTATTCCTTAGGCTTAGGAAGGCCTCTGCTCCACGACTGGTGTGAAACAGCACCTCCGGGGGGATGCATGCCTCTGGCGAGGGCAAAGGCTCTGGGCCGTGGAGCAGACTCTCTCTCTTCTTGCCAAGCCTGTTTAATGTCTTCTCTAGATTGTGCTACTAAGTTGGCACAGTTTGAAGGGATGAACTAGTCATCTGATTGGCTGTATGAGTGTTGGAGCAGTTGGTCAGTTTGGTGCCTGCTTGAACATGTCCACATGTGTAGTTTGAAAAAAATGGAAGCAATAATAAAACAGCAGCCTCTGTATCACCTTGGGGCTGTTGCGTTGAGAGGGGAACCCTGCTACCTTGAACTCATGCTGGCACATCCTGCTCTGGGATCACAGTGAGTTTATTCAGGGGAGGACTTATCTATGCTCACTGCACCAGGGCAGGGTGGGACAAGGCTGCTCCCAGGGAAAGGCAACTTGGAGTCTGGACTCAGGCAGACCTGGTTCCATGCTCTGCTTGATGCTTACTGGCTGTGTGACCTTGAGAAATCACTGCTCTCTTTGAACCTTAGTTTCTTTACATGTAAAATGGGAATACAGCCCATTATGTCATGAGGATTAGACACAATGAGTATACAACAGCAAATATAATGTTTGACAGGTGCTCAATGAATGGCACCTGTCTCAGTCAACTTGTCATTATGATTACTGTAATTTTGAGGCACTTATTGATTATGGTAATGGTATCAATTTTGCCACTGATTATGATAAAATAAACCATGGAATTAATTTTATATTTCTAGAAACAAAGAAGCATGGCATTAAATCTATACACTTAAAAATTGTCAATAGCAGCTCTCATTTATTCATTTGCTTACATATAAGTTGCTCGTTCCATGTAATCAGAGTTGGAGTGTAGAAATTTTTCACATTAATGAAATTTCGTATCTTGTTGGTTCTCAGAAGTTTTGTGTAACTTCAGAGATATGTGCTGCTTTTCAGAAAATAGCTATTCATGATCTTGATCTTTTTGATACCTTTCAAGGTTGGCAGTATAATTTTGAGGCTCATCAAAGTATAGTAGGATCTGGCCTGCATTTTCTCTTTGGCAAAACTCATAGTTTTATTTCCCCTTAATTGACTACATGTTGCTGTAAATTAAATGTCTGGAAGCCTTTGACAATTAGATGTTCATCATTTGGATGCTAGTCTTTTAGACTTGGAAAATTCTGTGATCTGTTCTAGGAGACTTGGTGATTTGTACTCCCTTTATTACATTGCATATGATAGGTAATCTCTAGTGTGCACAATAGCTTTTTCTTTCAATATTGCATTATGGTGAACTTATTGGAGTGTATTTGAAGTAATACCAGGGATCTTAATTTAAGCTAAAATTCAACTGCATTTCATATTAATATTTACAAAGACCCAGCTGAGTCGGTAACCAGATAACCCATAGTCAGCTAAATCCACACGTGGACAGCAATATCAGTCATATTATGTATTACCTCTTTGCCTAGCACATAGGTTTCTTTCAACATATATTATAAAATGCAGCCAGATTTCAGATATTAAGATATGAAAAAACTATGCATCTTAAAATAGAGGAAATGTGGTATTTTAGTATTGATGATGGATAGAAATGACCATGGCTGGGCCCAGGCGGTTTGCTTTTTGGGAGTGTGCAAGTATAGGTTCTGCAGTGAGAGTGGCTGAGTGTGAATCCTGGCTCCTCGCTTTTATAAGCTGGGTGACTGTGGGCAAGTTATATCTCCCAGACAGAATGTATGCCCCGAATATAGTCATGGATTTCGTCTGTCTTAAGGTCACTAAAATGGTATGGGTTCATGTCATATACACAAAAAATATTTGTAGATGAATGGATGAAAAGCCTCTTTAAGTCTCAGTTTTCTCATCTGTAGAAGGGGAGTAGAGTTGTTCTGAGGTTGAAATGAGATAATACATGCAAAATACTTAGCATGTAGGAAGTGCTATTACTATAAGACATGATTGCTACTGCTACAACTGCTAACTGTTGACTGGGGCCTTTCTCAAGGGGAAGCTCTTTGCGGAGCCCATATTGATCTGGGTGGCTGTGTGACCTGAGGCTTGGTGCCTAGCAGGGACAGAGAGTGGTAGTAGCCTCTTGGTCTCCAGTGTACCCAGCAACCTCAGCCCTGTTTGGGCTTTTCACATCGCTCAGATACTGTTCTTCCCCCTCTGTCACTTGTTTTCTCCCATGTCTTATCTCCTCTGCTGTACTCACTCTCCTTGAGGCTGTGAGGGTACCTTAGCCATCTTTGTCTCACTCACAGCACCTGACCCAGACCTGCTGGAGACGCTGAGCAGGTGTTCTCTGAGGGAGTGAGGAGACAGGTTAGGGCTGGACTCTGCTGTGGCCAGCTGAGGTTGTGGGAATAATTTTAACATTTTCCCAGAGAATAAGGAAATATGTGGGAACTAGAGGTCAGAGGAGGGCATGGATCTTTGCCCTTTTTTCTCCTATTTTCCCTTCATATAATTTTTGCTTTAAAATTCTCATTATTAGAGAGAGGACAAAAGGATCTGGTAGGAATCACAAAATCACTAGTTCTTTGGGTGGGACCTTGCTCACCACCCCATTCCAAGGTGGGGGAAAACAGAGAAGAAAGCAGCTCCCAGTCACCAGATTCTTCTGCAAGGGGTGGGGTGGGGGCGAGGGTCAGAGCTACGGCTGTGAACAGAGCGCCTGTTTCCTGTATTCCCCTTTGAGACTCTCATCAGGAGCAGCCTCAGTGGCCCAGGGGAGGGTAAGCAACCCGCTGGGACAGACGCACTCTAAGGAGATGACCTCCGAGTTCTAGTGAAGTTCTGCTACTGAATGGCTGGTAACCGGATTTTCCTGAGTCCTTGCTTTCTTAGCTGGTCAATATGTTTTTACTCCTTACGGGTTCCATGCCTTCTTATAAGACACTGTTGAGGTTTTCAGAGTGAGTACTAATGGGGAAATGGCCCACATTTGAAACACAGGTCAGGAAGAAATTGTTTAAGTCTCTTAAAAAGTTAGATTAGTGTCAAGTATACGTCAGTTTCTCTCTGCATCCTCACACTGTGAAAGTGTAATCAGGGACCAAATTCTGATACCTTATCTCCTAGGAGGGATTAGGTCCTGTCTCCCAGGATCCTTCACGTTGCATTCCCTTCCATCCCAATTCCTAGCTTCTCCATCCAGCGATGGTTATAAGATGCACTTCCTTGGCTAGTTGGCTGGGCTTGACTGCTTGCTGCCTAGGTGGTATCCTGTGACCAAGGAGTACATCTTAGGCCTAGGCTGAGCGGTTGGCAGCCCTGCCTTCCTCTGAGGTCAGCATTAGGGTTGCCAGCTTCTCAGCCTGCATACAATGATGTGTGTGTGTGTGTGTGGGGGGGGGGAGTGTCCTTGCTTCATATTACTCTTTTTGCTGTTCTCCTTTGGAGAATGTAATTCAGTGAGCACCT